CAGGCGGTCCTCGACGCCCGCAAGGCTGCCGTTCTCTTCCGCAACATCTTCACTGTTGAGCCCGCTAAGGCCGAGCTGGTCAAGTTCCTCGCCGCCGAGCATGCAGGGACTCTTACCTCCGAGACCCCCCGACCTCCTCGCCAGGCTCGTGTTCAGTATGACGTGGTCTTTGAGGACCGGAGCCATGAGTACATGGAATCAGTGATTGATGTCGCCTCGGGCAAGGAAGTCGACCACAGACGGGTGCCTCCAACTTCGCAACAATCCCTGACAGTGGATGAGTTTAGGGAGTTCAACGAGGTGTGCGTGGAATCAGAGATGTTTAAAAACGCTATCAAAGAGCTCAACCTCGACGAGAAGTTCGAGGTCGCTATCGATCCATGGCCTTATGGCGGCCCAGACGTCGGCGAGGTCGCCCCAAGGCAAGTGTCTATCCTCTACACACTATCCAGTCTCTAACCTATGGCTCAGGTATACTCAAGGTCTATGCTTCGCCAAACTACGAAATGGCAACCCCGATAGCAATCATTACGGGTTCCCTCTGCCCATCATTCCAGTGATGGATACCTACAAGAAGGAAATTGTTCGGATTGAACGTCTTGCCACTGGCGGTACTGAGGATGGCCTCAAATATGGCACAGCCGGCAAAAACGTCCTGGAACATTGTAAACCGGCTGAATACGTTCCCGAACTGCTGGATACTCCGCTTCGCAAAGACGTGAAACCCTTGAACGTGGTCCAGCCTGATGGGCCATCATTCACTGTGAGCGATGACTCTTTAATTGAATGGCAAAAATGGAGGTTTCGAGTTGGGTAGGCAATTCCCTGCGTTCACCTCGAAGTTCAGCACTGATTGAATTGATACAGGTTCACTCCTCGTGAGTGTGCCGTCCTTCATGACATCCACTACGACGGTCGAAGCGTGCTCTATCGCTTGAGCTTGTCCGAGATGACTGTTCCCTACGGCGATCCTCGACCGCCGTTTCAGCGGAAGCAGGCTTTCGATTTTGGAGACGCTGGCGCAGGTAGAGCTGCAAACAATCTTGCGCTCGGCTGTGACTGTCTGGGTGCCATCAAGTATATTGACGCAATGCTCGTTGACTCGGAAGGCAAGCCCTCAGTGTCGAAAAACGTCGTGTGTATCCACGAGCAAGATAATGGAATTGGTTGGAAACACACCAACTTCAGAACCAATCGAGCAGTGGTGACGAGACTGCGAGAACTGGTCGTTCAGTTCATCATTACACTGGCAAACTACGAATACATCTTTGCCTACAAGTTTGATCAGGCTGGAGGGTAAGTGGACATCATCCATGGGTGTGATTGAGTGCTTATATTCGGTTGCAGCATCACGATAGAGACCCGAGCCACCGGAATTGTCTCGGTGGTGAACATTGACCCTGGCAAGGTGAGCCCTTATGGCAACGTCGTATCACCTGGCGCCCTCGCCCAAAATCACCAGCATATTTTTGCCGTCCGGATCGATCCTGCCATCGATGGCCACTCCAACACCATTCTCACGGAAGAATCCCTACCGATTCCCATGAACCCGAAGACGAATCCGCATGGCAATGGCTACGAAATCGTCCGTAAGCCTGTCACCAAGTCGACATCGATTCACGCCTCTCCTTTCACAAACCTGACCATCAAAATGACCAATCCTAACAAGGTCAATCCTGTCTCGAAACGACCTGTCTCATACAAGTTCATTCCCACGCCGTCCCAATTGATCCTCGCTGACCCCGAGTCCGTTGTCGCCAAGCGAGCAGCGTACGCCCACCATCACGTGTGGGTCACCAAATACCGGGACAATGAACTTTTTGCAGCAGGAGAATTCACGAATCAATCACAGCTCGAGGTAGGTGGAGTGGCGGACATGGCTGCGCGCGACGACGATGTGGAGAACGACGATGTGGTCGTCTGGAACGTCTTTGGTCTTACCCACAACCCGCGCGTGGAAGATTGGCCTGTCATGCCTGTGGAGATTCACCAGGTCCATTTGCGTCCGGCGGACTTTTTTGAGAGGAATCCTGCCCTCGACGTGCCTGGCAACAAGAACATCGCCAGCGTCGAGGTTGGAAGAGAGACCAACGGAGAATGCTGTCACGCGAACGGGAATGGATCCGTACAGGCCGATCCGACCTCGCATCTGCAAGGTACAGGAAGCACGCCTGTTGCGGCAGTCAACGGACACTAGATCATGATAGCGTATAGACAATTGCACGAAACTAATTACGAATGAAAAGCAACAAGGTATCGCAGGAAATTAAATGCAAACAAAGCGCAAGACGAGTGCGTCCGGCAAGAATTATTCTACCTGTATGCTTCGGAAGGTTCAGGCTTATGAGTAGTGGGATCCAGATTGACAGTGACTGAGGCTTTCTAGATGCTCGAAATTCAGCCTTTGGCAGATCACTACCCAGTGGAGTGCCCCTTGTGTCAAGCGGCCAGACCACTCGCTTGTCTCAATAATAATGGTGCAGCATGCCTCCAGGCTGCGACTCAGAGAATCATTTAACGAGACCCCACGAACATCGGCTCGGTCCGAGTCAGCATGGATGGCCATGGTTCCCAAGGGTTTCCTACCAGCGTGCCAGCTCACCTGGTGGCGCGGTGGCGTCATTCAGTAAGTCGCCTGCGCTGCCTGGTTTCCCCGCTGATTAATTCTCGAGGTACCAGTTCGAGAACAATCTTCAGCGAATGACTATCTAAATCTTCTGCTGGAGGAAGCTGGCTTCTTCGTTATTCCTAATCTATTCGTTATCGCCACTAAATCACCCGCGATTGACTTGTCGATCATCCCCATCAACGAGACAAGATGAAGATCCAATATCGAGATGAGACCCTCGAGCTGGAGGATATTCCGGATGAAACCATTCGTGATCTGGCAACAAGATGCGCCGAAGGGATAGGCGCAGATGTCGAGCGAGTGTCTCTCTTTTTCCTTCCCAAACCCGGCTTTGTCAAGCATCCGTTCTCCGACCGCAAATTGGACGAGTTCCTCACGCCGACGACACGAATAAAGCTAGTTGGCACGCCCAATGCTGAGGTTAAAAAGATGGAGGACATGGGCGCGGCTACCCGAAGGGTGTCACGCCCGAGCGGATTCAAACCGGTCAAGGCAAACAAGGTCCGAGATTGGAAAAAGATCCAGGAAGAGACAACCTACACCTTCCACGCCATAGAGCCTCTACCATACCTACCAAACCCAGAAAAGAGCAGACGGTTTCTAGAGCGGCTGGCAAACGACCCGGGGATCAAAGCATCCATGCGGAAGCACAAGTTCACGGTCGGGCTCCTCACAGAAATGAATCCCGCAGAGCACACGACCCACGAGTCAAAGACACTGGGCTTGAACCGCAACCGGGGTGAGGTGATTGAGCTGAGGCTGCGGACAGACGCATATGACGGATACAGAGATTACAAAGTGATTCGCAAAACCCTTTGCCACGAACTGTCGCACAACGTCTGGGGCGAGCACGACCGGAATTTCTGGGAGCTCACGAAAGAGATCGAGCGCGAGGTAGAGCGCAACGACACATTGCACGGCGGGCATCGCCTCTCGAATGAGGAGTTCTACGATCCCAACGACACGTACGAGGCCGCCGAGCATGCAGACCATGGGGGCTGGACAGGTGGGAGCTATGTGCTGGGAGGCTCGAAGGAAGGTGATGGTGAGAGCGCGAGTGGCCTGAGTCGACGGGACATTGTGCTACGAGCCACCCTGGGTCGTCTACAGAAAGAAAAGGAGGCGAGAGAGCAACGAGATTCCTCTCCACCAGCATCTTAGTTAGTGTTGACTTTTGTCCTCCTTTGCGATAGCATGGTGTTGGTGGTCGGTCGTCTCTTGATGCTTGGGTATTACGATAATATTATATTTCTTCCTGAAAGTCGGTCCCTGGAGCTCCTGCTGCCACTATTATTATTATTATATTCTCCATCTACTTGTCGTCTTCTGCCTCCGTTTTTTCGGGCCCCGAACTGCAACCGGGTACGGATCGGGGTTGCGAGGCTACTCCAACTTTTCGTACAGGTCCTCCGTATTTCAGGAGTGGTTCTAGGCGCTTGGGCTCAGCGGACTCGGCCCTGTGGTCGCCCTGAATGCTTAGATTGGGGCTAGCTAGCGAGCCAAAGTCAGCTAAGTCTTTTGGCGAGGTGCAAGGCTCACCTGTCTGATTCAACCATTCTTCGGGGCTATCATCGATGGAGCGATGGAGGAGCTAGCCGGCCCCAGAATCCGAAATCAAGGTGCAGGAACTGGTTCATTTAGGGCTGGGGGAGGAGTACCAAGTAATCGTACCCGTCGTAGTGATGGTCCGTAGCCAGGATTGGCAGGGTTGGCAGCTGATGTACCAAGTAGAAGCCTCTAGGACCTTGACACGATCCGTCATACATATTATTGGCATTCCATGTTCGATGAGTACAAGTACAGGTTGCAGGTCCTCCTGGACAATCGTATGTATACTCCTGTGTGCCTCAGCCACTGGAAATTTGTGCTGATTCCGAAATTATCTGTCTCAGTCACTACCGTCGTTGCCTCCGTCTTGGTCATCGCCGCCTACGGACTTGTCCCGTCGGAAGACGCCCTTGTAACTTTGACTGCTGCAACGTTATCTCTCCCCTCACCCAAATCTTCCAGGGACGAAGACGTCACTTCCGCTGGCTGTTACACCCAGACAGGTGAATCACCCAGAGGCTCCGTGAAGAATACGGAGTCCCTTGTCATAATAATAAAGAGGAGCTCCTTCTGCTCCTCCAACCAGAGAAAGGTATGGTTGCACCCAGCATGCAGGTCCGCTTCCCGCTCCCGTCTACGTCTGCGTCTGCGTTTGCCTTTGCATGTTGAGTCAAAAAACTGTCCGGTTCGAGGATCTGTCACAACATGTCAGACTCCTCATCACTTCCTGCTTGATACTTCCTTTCGTTACCTCTTCCTACTGTCCTGTACCTCTTTCATCCTACAGCATTCTAGTCTTGTCACTTGCAGGCATCGATACTGAATGCCTCTGTTAGAAGGGTCGAGGCAGGCCTCGCCTACCCCGAATCCCAACTCTCCCGACCCTGTCCCTGCGGCCATCTTCAACCGTCGCCCCAGCGAACAGTTTTCCGATTTGGCTCGAGTCGCAATCATGACAAATGCATCTGCCTCTTCTCATGAGGGCGAATCCTTAAATCATGTCGCATACCACTCCAGTCTGATGCCTCCTCCCAAAACCGCCTTTGGCAGGTCCGCATCTAATTTGTCCACGCATAAACCATCGACAAGTACCTGGGGCAGAGCCTTGACGGACACTCCTGCTCCCAGTGCGCCCACAAGTCCGCAGATGTAAGCGCTCCGAGAAATCTTAAGAAAAATGCGACAGCCAGAGGCGCTGACTTGACCAGACATGCTCGAACCAGTTCAAACGTGTCAGGGTCAGCGACTCCCAAAATCCGTGCCACCACCCTCGATATCCCCGGGTTGACTAGATCCAAAGTCTCCCCGAATGGTCAAATATCAGAAAGAGATGTTGCAGCCAAGCTCATTATCATCATGGTCGGTCTACCCGCCCGGGGAAAGAGCTACATCGTCAAGAAGATTGCTCGATACTTGAACTGGTTACAGCACCCAACCAGGATATTCAATGTTGGAGATCGTCGAAGAGTTGCAGCTGGTGTTGGTCAACCTATCCCCGATCGAACGACTGCCGCACTGAGGGAATCTGTACGTCGAATGAGCTCTACAACTAAGGGACCTCAGTCTATTGTTGATCATGGAGAACTACTCCCACCGCCTGCCGTTGAGACTAAGATTCTCATTAATGGCGAAGTAACCTCATCTCCCATAAGTCCGTTACAAATGAACGGATCGACCAAGTTTGAGGATGATAAGAAAGACCCGATTCAGCTGTCTGGGCCCGAACCTATGGATCAGTCTGCGCAATTTTTTGACCCAAACAATACCAGAGCCAAGCAGTTACGAGAACAGGTGGCCCACGCAGCCTTGGACGAGCTCTTGAAGTACGTTCTTGAAGACGGCGGATCGGTCGGAATCCTGGACGCCACGAATCATACCCGGGAGCGACGTCTGTCGTTGGTCAGGCACATCCGGGAGCGCGACGAGAACATCAATATCCTCTTTGTCGAATCGCGATGTCAAGATCAGAACTTGCTGGAAGCAAACATGCGACTGAAATTGTCAGGTCCAGATTACAAAGGCAAGGATCCAGTGACAGCGTTCCTGGATTTCCAGCAACGTGTCCAACAGTATGAAAAGTCATACCAGAAACTAGATGAGTTCGAGGAAGAACACAACATGGCGTATTGCTCCATGATTGACGTGGGGCGGAAAATGGTGACGCATCAAGTCAAGGGTTTTCTCTCCATACAAACCGTCACGTACCTGATGAACTTCAATTTGGCACCGCGACAAATTTGGATCACCCGACATGGAGAGTCCATGGACAACGTCAATGGCAAAATCGGTGGCGACAGCTCGTTGAGTCCTAATGGTGTGAGATATGCTCAGGCCCTCGCCAAATTTATTGGGGTAGAATGGAAGGCATGGGAAGAGTACCAGGCCGAAAAACAAGCAAACACCCATTTTCCACCGCTTCCAGGCGACACGACACCGCCAAATCCGGAATATACGGCACAAACACTGCAGCAGCGGAATTTCTGCGTGTGGACGAGCATGCTGAAACGGAGTATCGAGACGAGCCAGTATTTCAACGACGAGGAGTTCGATATCAAGCAGATGCGAATGCTAGACGAACTCAACGCTGGATCAATGGAGGGCATGACCTACAGTGAAATTCGAGACAAGTTTGCGCACGAGTATGAGCTCCGAAAACGAGACAAGCTCCATTACCGGTACCCTGGTCCCGGCGGCGAGGGATATCTGGACATCATCAACCGGCTGGGAAAGGTCATCCTCGAAATAGAAAGAATGACGGACCACGTCCTGATCATCGGCCATCGAAGTATTTGTCGAGTTCTCCTGGCCTATTTCATGGGGCTCAAGCAAGAGGACATTAGCGACCTGGATGTTCCATTGGGTGTGGCATATATGCTCGAACCGGTAAGACCAAGATGTTTCCTACAAGTATTCTCTTTACTGACGTGAGACCTGCAGCGACCATACGGCGTCGAGTTCAAAGCATATCGATGGGATCCTGCCACGGATCAATTTCTCTATGAGCCAGACTATCGGATGAGGCGAGCTATTGACCCACAAGCCTGATGTTTTACCGTTCCCTCTGCGTGCCCAACTATGATACCCCTACCCGCATTAACCATGGCATATATCTATATAGACCATACAAAACCTTGGTGGGATACCGGTGGACTCGCACGGGCCTCTCCTGCCTTTCTGGACCATCGCACACTCAGACGATTGCTACGACTGGACTAATACTCTTTTCTTTTGACATTTGGCAGGCAAGATTGTTATTGGCACCACCGTCCAGATATGAGTCGCTTCAATTCCTGGGTGGACTAGTGATCAAGTTATTGGGGGAAAGGAAAGTGATTAGCGTACGGCAGATCTATTGCGTCTTAGCACAGGCGTTGGGGGAGTGCTTTCAAGGCCACTGGCCTCAATTGGGAGTCTTGTTCTTCTTCTTTCGTGTACAGCATGTCACCATATTTACATTGGGCAAGTCTGGTAGAATCCGTGTGGTTCGGGAAAAAGAACCAGGTGTATGTGGCAGGCAAGATAGGCGGTGGATCGGACTAGCCGAGAGCAAGGAGTTGCAGAGAGGGAGAAGGTTCTTTGATTGAGCGTGATTGAGTTAGCCGAACATGGCATACTAGTCTGGTTGCGGACGATCCTCGCTCTGCTTTCTCGCTCGTCTCTCTCCGGAAAGACGGGACCAGAAGTGCTTCTGGGACAATCCTTCAGTCCCAGGGCGTTCACCAATGGGAATGAAACCGGAGAGGGGCGTCTGTCATCTTTGCCACGAGTCTACGACCCGTTTGGTGCCCCTTAGTGAACTAGCGTTACAACCAATGTTTGCCTAGACGAATATCTGGCCAGCTGTGGATGGAGTGTTGCTGATTGTGTGTGACTCTCACTCACCAATGCAGTCAGTCTTGCAAGGCTTCGGAGTTAGTAAAAACTTGGATGCTGATAAGAGGGGTTGAAGAGTAATACTTATACATACAGTGTATGTGCATGTGTGTGTTATGTGTGTGGTGCCGTTGATCCGATCCACCACTCATTTTCTTTGGCTTTCGGAGAAAGGATGTGACATGCAGTCAGTCCCTCATACACATGTCCGTACCAAGTACTTATATTAAGACCGGCGCAGTGAAAGCTTGTCTCTCTTGTTTCTCTTGTCTCGGAACCTCACATCGCTCACTTGGTTCACTTTGCCCCTCACACTCTCATCTCGGCCGCAGCCCTCAGTCATTGACAGTCAACTGGTTCACATGGTGACTGTCGTCGCCCGTATGAGACGCCGCTCACTCTACACCACGTGTATCCTTCATCGCACCATGAGCATGATGGTCCAATAACACTAGGAGATGAGGTGTTTGTCAATCAAGCGTCCAGTAAAACATCACTACGAATTCTACGGCAGCTGTCTAAGGCAAAGAAGCCCCAGGCACTACGAACATCAGACGCCCCAAACGTGCCGGGAGAAATAATATTGTTTGAGCCGCATCCGCTGGCTTCGGGTGTGGGCCTCACTTCATTAATACTGCGATATCGCCAACAAGGCCGATACGGTACCGCCGAGGCCTTTTACGGAAGAGAACAGGCCATTCTGAGAGGAGCCGGACTGAGAAACACAAAGAGAAAACCACCCTTGTGGGTTGATCGTCGTTTCCAGGAAGGCCATTCTTCGTCCAGCCATGCCGACCTTGTCCCTCACCAACTTTAACATTGTCTGTGCCGTCCTCGGAGGATTCATTACTGTCTTTGGCCTTGTTAGTTACTTGTTCAAGGAGCGGTTCTATCTTTCCGAAGCACGTATGTTGCGGTCCCTTACTCAACCCGGTCAGATGGAAAGCTGATGTGAATGACAGTGATTTCTCTTGTGGCTGGCGTCGTCTTCTCTCCCAATGCCACCGACCTGATTAAGCCCCTCGAGTACGCCGGAGGCTCCGAAGACAGCCTGGACTACATTACCCTCTATTTCACCCGCCTCGTGTTAGGTGTTCAGCTTGTGCTTGCTGGCGTCCAGCTGCCCAGCCGGTACCTCTACACGGAATGGAAACCTCTGGCCTTGCTCCTCGGCCCCGGCATGTGTGGAATGTGGTTGTGCGCAAGTCTGCTTGTATGGGCCATGGTGCCGCATCTGAGCTTCCTGCATGCTCTTGCGATCGGAGCATGTGTCACGCCGACCGACCCTGTGCTGTCCAACTCGATCGTCAAGGGCAAGTTTGCGGACAAGAACATTCCCAAGCCATTGCAGAAGATTATAATCGCAGAGTCAGGCGCCAATGATGGGCTCGGATACCCGTTCCTATTCCTGGCGCTCTATCTGATCAAGTACACCCAGCAGGGAGGCGCAGGCCAGCCTGGAGGAGCATCAAAAGCCATGGGATACTGGTTTGGGGAAACATGGGGGTACACGATTCTGTTGAGCGTTGTTTATGGCGCCGTGGTGGGCTGGCTTGCAAAGGAGCTCTTGCACTTTGCCGAGGAGAGGAAGTTTATAGACCGTGAGAGTTTTCTCGTGTTTGCCATCACGCTTGCTCTCTTCATCACAGGCACCTGTGGCATGGTTGGCTCGGATGACGTCCTGGCTTGCTTTATTGCCGGGAATGTGTTCACTTGGGACGACTGGTGGGTTTCTTACAAAATCCCACAGGTATGCATTCGTTAACTCGCTTACCAGGTTTCGGCTCGAAACTCAGGATGACTCTCTCCAACCTACCATCGACATGCTACTCAACATTTCGGTCTTCCTCTGGTTTGGCGCCATCTGCCCCTGGGCGTCCTTTCGAGCAAACCATGTCATTCCAATATATCGACTGATCCCATTGGGAATTCTCATCTTGCTCTTCCGCCGCGTCCCCGTGGTGTTTGCCATGCACAAAAAGATCCGCCAGATTGAAGAATTCCAACAGGCTGCATTCGTGGGTTTCTTCGGCCCCATCGGGGTGTCGGCCATATTCTATCTCTACGTCAGCATTGATTTCCTGCGGCAGATCACGGTGGACGGGAGGGTACGCGAAGATGCAGTCCGGCTCGAAGAAGTCATGAGAGTGGTGATTTGGTTTCTGGCGATTTGCAGTATCGTCGTTCATGGCCTGTCCATCCCACTGGGCAAGTTAGGTTATCATCTTCCACGGACCATGTCTCAAGCTCTTAGCAGTGAGAGGGACGATGATGAACCAGATATCCACATGGGCCGTTCGCCTCATCGCAGATCAACAAGTCAACTGCGACACAGGAAAGGCCATGGTCATAGGGACAGGTCTCGTCGCCCAAGTCCCGTATCGTTTATGATCGGGCAGGGAGGCACAACGAGATCAACCACCATGGATCTGGAGAGTGCTCAGGAACCTGCGCGACCCGTCCGCATTATTGAAGATACGCCTAGATCAGGGTCCCCGGTCGTGGCTGTGACGGGTTTGAGGCAGGGAGTAGATGCCGGTGAACAGCTTGGTAGCCTGGAGACAGAGCCAGAGGAACCGCGGCTTTCTCAAGCAATGAAACCTGCTGGTGAGGTGAAGACGGATTGATAGGCGAGTTGCGGCTCAATGAGCCTCATGATTCTCGCGTGGCGTTCTGGAAGAGCGCGTTGTTAGTGTTGTTATTTCTAGAGAACCACCGCACCAGATGCAGCAAATAGAACTGTGGAAATAGTAATAATCAGATTTGGTTTTCAATTACTCTTTGCATCGCTTTGCTCTGTGAAATGAGAGAAAGACACTCTGAGCAGGTGAATGAGAGGTACATCCCCCCAACTGCGCACCCCCCCTCCCCTTTTGGCCCCTCCCACGACCACTGCACCACCACCTCAAACATCATCTCCACCTCTTCCCCTTGCTTGTCACTCAAACCAAACCTCCCTCAACAAGTCGAGCCATACGCTACCTTACCAACTACTCCTAGTCGATCAAAGAAACCAGGTGTGTACATCTGTCATATCCAATACTCTCTTTCCCTTCTCTGCAAGGAGCAAGACCACGCAAGGACCAGAAGTCCCTTGCCGCCGCAGTCCCACCCTCCCCCGTCCTGGACCAATGCTGCCTGGCTAACTTCATGCAAGGACTGTCTTTCATGGTATCCTCGTCTCCCATTTCTCGCCTCTGCACTCTCAGTCGCCAGGTCTCTCATCAATCAATCTCATTCCATACTGTTTAAAAGACAAGGACTGGGTTGGACTAGATTGCACAGCCAGAATTCATTACTAGTCGAGCACGCCTTGCAAACCGATGCAGATGCGGAGTGTTCGTCCTTGACCATCGGCGTCCCACCTTCCTACCATCTTCACCCGAAAAGTCCCATAGATCACGCTGCCTCGGTTTCGGCTGAGCCATCGTGTCCTGCACCATCTTCGCCGCCGAGTTCCAATGGCGCAACCTCCGCAAGCCACTGATGCTTCACGCGCGAGTCCGAGCTTGACAAGCCAAAATGCCGCCGCTGGAGTTAAAAGGAAAAGAACAGCGGAACGCAAGTTCTACGCCGTGAGGCAAGGGAAGACACCTGGAATCTATGACACATGGACGGAGTGTTTGGGACAAGTGAAGGGACACAAGGGGGCTGTGTGTATGTGGAATCGACTGCATTCCAAAGCCTTTCCATTCCGTATTGACGTGTCCTGCAGTCAAGGCCTTTCAATCTCTCCATGAGGCCCAAGCTTTCATGGACGGCAAAATGCTCTCAACCGCCAAAGACTCGGGAGAGCAAAAGTTCTACGCCGTTCAGAGTGGAAGGGTTCCAGGGGTCTACACCGACTGGATACAAGCCCAGGCTCAGATCCGGGGGATCAAAAAACCCAAGCACAAGAAGTTCAATACCCGAGCAGAGGCAGAAGCGTTTGTGGCAGCGGGTGCCAAAGCTAACGGTGCCGAACCTGGTCACAGCGTTACCTCAGAGGAGGAGATCCGCCGCTTGATAATCCGCAATTCGGCGCCAGGGTTGCAAGTTAACGGAACATATTCTCCGAAAGACAAGGAGGGGAACCCTTACCCGGTCGGTCGGGGGCCTCTGCCACCGGGCGCTGAGGATGGATATGATCCAAACGTCAAGCTGGCCCAGGATGGCACCATTGTCAATCGAAC